GGCGTGCACGGCTTGCACAATTTAAAAGTCACGTGACTACTGGGCATCTTATTCATAGATTCACAGATGCTAGGGTCAGAAGGGACCTCAACAGATCATCGAGTCTGACCCCCTGCCCTGGGCAGGAAAGAGCGCTGGGGTCAGATGACCCCCGCCAGATGCCTGTCCAGCCTTCTCTTAAAAACCCCCAAGGTAGGGGAGAGCACCACTCCCTTGAAAGCCCACTCCAAGTTTTGCCCACCCTTACCATGAAGAAGTTTTTCCTGATATCTCGCCTAAATCTGCTCTCTGGCAGTTTGTGACCATTGCTCCTTGTTACCCCAAAGGGCGCCCTGGTGAACAGAGCATCTCCGATCCCTTGCTGCGCCCCATTAATGAATTTATAGGCAGCCACAAGATCACCTCTCAGCCTTCTCTGGCAGAGGCTGCAGGGATCCAGGTCCCTTAGTCTCTCCTCTTAGGGCTTGGCCTGTAAACACTTAACCACATGAGTGGCCTCCTCTGGACCCTCTCGTGGTTATCCACATCCTTCTTAACGTACAGCACCCAAAACTGGAGGCAGCGCTCCAACTGTGCTCTGACCAGTGCTGCGTAGAGGGAAAGTATCACCTCCTTGGATCTATTTGTCATGCGTCTGCTAATGCGTGATAACGTGCGGTTAGCTTTGCTGATGATTTTGTCACACTGACAACTCACGCTCATCTTGGAGTCCGCTGTGACTCCGAGATCCCTTTCCGCTTCTGTGCTGCTTCTCATGTGGCTTAACCTGACATTTAGTAAAGTGTGCAATAGCAATGCCATACACAGATCTGCCCCCATCCGCTTTACCTTTACAGGTCCTCGTATTTCTACGGGAACTTTCATCTCTGTAGGCAGAGCGCTGTGCCTGGGAGCATATTCCGTCGGTGCCTCCTGGGGGTCTTCATACAGATCCAAAGAGTGGAAAAGGGAGTCTACACACACTGGATTTTGAAGAGCAAAGTCTTGAGGGGCAGAACTAGCTAGGGAGTCTCTCTTGTTAATGTTAAAGGCAGGAAATGCCATATCATCATTCAACTGTGCATCAAAATTTGCCATGTTGCCCATATCTGGCGTGTCGCAGGGCTGGCTGCAAAGGGCTCTTGCAAAATCCAGCTTCCCATTCCCACTGCTTAATAAACGGTCATTTTCTGCACACGGTGGGTACTTCACAGCCAAGGCAGACAGCACGTCTACAGCTTGGGGCTGGTTCTGGAGAACAGCAGAGTCACGCAGTCTAGGAGCTGCTGGGCAGACCGTGATGGCAGAGGAGGGCTTTGTTCCTGGCTGTCTGAAGTTGGGTCTTTCCACTTCCTCTCCGACTGTATCATCGGTGCATTGGATTGGCATCGAAGTGGGCAGATCTTTAACAGAAATCGGTAGGGGAGGTTACTCGCGGGACTGAAAGGACCTCTTGCAATTTACCTGCATACTTCCTGCAACCACATGGTTCTCCTTTTAATCAATGTGCCCTGGTGGTTGTGCATCAACTGTACAGCAGAGATGGCTTCTTCCTCATCTCAAGAGACAGCTGTTAAGCAGAAAAGGAAAACGAAGAGCTGTTTCCAGTGATGGTAAGCGCTCTATGCTTTGGCATAGGATCGCTATCTGCCCCTTTCCGGGCTCAGGGGGCTGCAACTGCCCGATCCTGAATAGCAGACCCAGCTACTCAGCTCTAGCACTGATTTTCCTGACTTTTGGGGTTATCATGCATCTGATGCATGAGTTTTCAGCTGATTCCAGCTGTGGCCAAAGCCAAGCTCTCACCTGGACAACCTGCTTAGTATTCAACCCCTCTCTCATGATTTATGGGTGCTGTTCATTTCCCTCATAAGCCAGAAAAAGCAGCTGTTCCAACACAGCGGGTAGCCTCCTGCCAGCTACAGGGAGAATCTAATTCAAATGTATGTAAATTCATGTGTGATTATGTGTTACATCTCCTCTAGACACCAGAAACTGCATCTGATGCAGGCAGAAACTGAGTTAGCTGTAGCAACATGGGAATAATTGATTTTTCTATTGGTTGCTTGAACTGAAAATTGGAAAGAAAAAAAAAAATCCTTCATTTAAGGTCAACTCAGAATGAGGATTTTCAGGTTGTTCTCCAAGCAAAAACACACAAAAATAAATCATGATCGGTTTTTTTTTTTTCCTGCCCAAAACAAAACATTTTTGTTTCATCTCTTGGGAGGCTGGTCACTTTTTCATTTTCTTTTTTAAGTACAAGGGTATCATTTTGTAAAGGAAAAATGGACACATTTCACTTTCTGAACACTGAATCAAAAACACTTCCACTTTTTTCCTAAGTGTTTTTTTTTCCAGCCAGACTAATTGGTTAAATTTGGCACGAATTCACAAATTAATTTGGTTTAACCAAATCTGCACTTCCTGTAAATAAGCTTTTGACCGGAAAATTATTCCCTGATTTGAGTTTATTCTGTTCCTTACCGATGAGTGGGTCCTTCCCTGGAATCAGCTTCTGTAGCAGCTCGCTCTGCTTTGCACATAAATGCTGAAGCCTGGTGAATTCTTGGCCAAGCTGGAAAAAAGCTTCTTCCATTTCTCCAGTGCCTGGCTATCGGGAGGAGGGGAGGGATGGAAGGAGGGGAAATGACAGTAAAATTAATTTCATTGAGCCATAAATATTACTAGAGCAGAAACAGAACCAGGAAGCCAGTAGAGAATAGAAAGCTGAACATCAGGTCAGGCAGGGGTAGGGGATCAAAGTGGCAATCAGCTGGGACGGGGGACAGGAAGAGGGCTGGGGTCTCAGGGTAGGCAGGGGACCAGAACTCAGATCACCAGCTTCTCAGTCCAGCAGCCTGGCCGCTGGTTCCTACAGCAATTAAGGATCGTGCGATTACATTTACAGAAGATGCAACATGGCTAAGCAACGTTTCCCATTGACCTGAATGGGGGCACAATCATAGAAAATGAGGGTTGGAAGGGACCTCGGGACATCACCTAGTCCAGTGTTTCCCAAGCTTTTCCAGCCTCAGTCAAACCCCCTGCTCCAACCAGCCCCAACTAGATCAGCCCAGCCACAGCTTTGTCTAGCCAGGTTTTAAAAACCTCCAAGGAGGGAGATTTTGTTGGGTCTGAATGAATTCAAGTCAGCAAGACTGGATGAAGTTCATCCCATGGTCCTGAAAGAACTGGCAGAGAGCTCAGAGCCCTTGGCAATGATCGTCATGAAGTTGTGGGACCTGCAAGGATGGAGATGCCACCACCTCCCTGGGTAACCTGTTCCAGCGCTTTGCCACCCTCCTAGTAAAAAAGGAGTTTTTTTCCTAATCTTGAACCTCAACTTCCCTTGCTGCAACGTGAGCCCGTTGCTCCTTGTTCTGTCATCTGCCCCCACCGAGAACAATCCAGCTCCATCCTCTTTGGACGCCCCCCACCCCACCAGGTAATTAAAGGCTTTTGTTAACGGTGATCATGCCCTAGGACTTTGAAATATTCCCACCGTCAGTACTAAACTTCATCCTACCCACGAGAACACGCTGTCTGCGGTGGCACAGAGGCAAAGTGACTCCATGGAAGCAGACTTAAGGTGGGGGGAAGATCAGATCCAGATGCACAGCTCCCATTCCCAGTGCGTTTTCAGTGGGAGCTGGACCCTGAGCTAACCACCGTACCTATGGTAAACTTCCCCTACAATAACCCCCAAGTGGAAATCCAGTTCATGGCCTAGGTGATTATGCCCTAACTCAGGGGTGCTCAACCCCTGGCCCATCGGCCAGATCCAGCCCATAGAGCTGTGTAGTCTGGCCTATGGGAAAAGTTTGGCAGCAGGGGACAGAGGTAGCAGGAGGCCTGATCCCGGTGCACAGGGCTAGGGGGAGGCAGCACAGGGCCCAATCCAGTCCATGGACTGTCCCCATGTCACTCATCTAGCCCATGGGGCCAAAAGATAGAGCGCCATGGCCATAACGAAATATCCCTGCTCCTAAGGAAAATGTCTGTGTAGCGTATTCAGCATATTTCTTCCCACTATAACAGTACTGAGGAGGATTTGACTTTGCAGGAATGATTATCATTTTGGGGAGAAAAATAAATAAAAGCCCATTTTTAACATAAATCTATGATCAACCTGCAAAATTCAAATTTCATTTGAAAGGCTGGTGGTGTGGCTCTGTTAGCCCAGCTATGCAAATCAACTTTGCTTTCCATCACAGTTTCCAGTTTATCAGCGCCAAGCTGCCGAAAGTTCAAGTTCTCAGTTTCATCTTTAGAGGCTCTGCTAATCTGCCTGGTGAAACATCCTTTGCCATTTAGTAAGATGGGGACCCTTATGTATGGGCGACTGCAGAATTCAGTAGCAAACATGAGGAAGAGCACACCGCACAAAGAAAACTTTTGACAAAAAGGTAAAGTAAATTATTGCTGGATGGTTTTGTATGTGTTACACTGTGAACAAGGTCAGAAAGATCATTTGGTCAAATTATTCTGCTGTTTTCTTACAATTTCTTTAGGTTGGGCAGAATGTGCCCAAGCTATTTTATGTTTCCAGTGTTTTTATAAATAAAAATAAGCAATCGGGCCTTATCCGGTGTCCAGTAAATTCAATAGGAGCTTTTTCATTTGCCGATAATCATAACTAGCAACCTTCAGATACCTGAAGGGCAGTGATAGGGAGGATGGAGATGGGCTTTTCTCTGTGGCCATAGGGGACAGGACTAGTAGCACTGGCTTAAGCTGCAGCAGAGGAAATTTAGGTTGGAGATGAGAAGGACTTTTCTGACTCTGAGGGTGATCAAACATTGGACATAGAGAAGCTGTGGAGCCTCCATCCCTGGAAGCTTTCAAGAGCAGGCTAGAGAGACACTTGGTTGGGATGGTTTACTCGGGCATGATCCCGTCTTGAGCGGGGTGCTGGATTAGATGACCTTGGGAGGCGCCTTTTAGCCCTACTCTCCTAGGGTCCTATAATATCATACATAGTTCATTTGTACTGCAACGGTACCTAGAATCTACCCTCTGACCACATTGTGCCAGACATTGCACAAATACATAACGCAAGACTTCGGTGCATTTTGAATTGTGCCTTAGCCACATAAAGCAATATCTGATCTACTGAGCTACAAATGAGTCATTGTAAGAATAACTCTTGATAACCAAACGTCGGGTCATGTCAAGTTAATAATCCAAATGCACATTTTATGCATTACTATGCCAGTGAGTTATTTAAAAGGGCGTGACTTGGGTTGATGGGTACATTTCCACTGCATTGATTTCATAGTTTCTAGGGTCGGGAGGGGCCCTAGTTCATCAAGTCCGACCCCCTGCCCCGGGCAGGAACAAGTGCTGGGATCATAATACCCCAGCCAGGTGATCAGCAAACAGATGCTTTTAACAGTAAACAGTCACTTCATTTCTCATGATTACTATAGTGAACGAGGGAGGCTTTGGTATTTAGGAATTTTAATTGAACGTACAACCTGAAAATGCTTCCATCCTTTAAGATTACAGTCATGATCCAATGACAGCAAAATATTCATGAGCTCTGTATTTTTAGGGAGCAACTCACTCTGATCTAACCTTTCACTCTGGCTTCAAAGACAACGGGATGAATTTTATCCTCAATCGCATTACTGTGATCTTTGCAATTTAACCCAACCAGGAGGGTAACTCAGAGAAAAACCTGAGCCTGGACTCGCTACCTAGACCTGAGCACATCGTACAGGCTAGATCCGAGGACTGAACAGTGCTACCACAGTTTCAGAGAAAACTTACTCTTGCTGTGTCTCTGTCTCTCTGATGTCGCTCTGCTCTTGCGTGTCATTTGGGCTTGTGACTTTGAACTGAAAAAATTCAGCGTTCGAGCTTTTTTTGGTGCGGGGAATTTCCCCTCGGTTCTTATGTTAATAGCGAAACCTCAGCGCAGCGGCAAAACAGGAAACAAAGCAGTAGCGAGTCCAAGCAGCTGACTGCCTTTAAAATGAAGTTCGGCAAAGCCTTCGACGACTGTTTTAAAAATCAGTGTAGCCCCGCAGATAAGCCGCCAGCTTGAGGCTGGAGAGTTTTGTTCCCTGCACTTGCTGCACGGCCTTTGCGAGTCCCTTCCCTTTTCCGTGCCTCAGTTTCCCCTCTCGCTTGTTCTCGTGTCTATTTAAATTGTAAGTTCCTTCATTTCTGTGCGTATGGGGCCTGACAAAATGGAGGCTTTTAGGGGCTAGTTTAATTCACCAAAAGGCCTGGACGCAGAACATGCCACCACCAAGGTGGGCTTGTCCACCAGTGGAAGTTATACAGGTGTCCTTAGTAGACAGATGGCCACATCTCCTCTGGTAGCTGACACCGGAAATGTTAATAAAGTGCCCCTCGACTAAGAGGTGGGGAGCCAATAATAATTTAAACTAGTAGCAACCCTGGGATAGAAGGGGACACATGATACCTATGGCAGTTTATACAGGTGCAGTTTTGCCCTGGATTTTTCTAGGGATTACAGTCCACCAGCTTAGAAAATTGCATCAGTGCGTGCCATGTGCCCACTCCTCCTTTCCACCTGCGTATGGGCAGGTGACACCCAAGTTAACAGGCATCCAGGCTTGAACTCTTCCGATTCGCACTTTGCTGCCAACCTAAGATTGCTCTCACCCAGCACAGGACTCGGTGCAAACCCGCTTGCTTTGGGTTTTTAATATCCTCCTTTTCCAAGCACCTTGCGTGAATCTGCCCACTTTCACGTCCCTTCCTGCCTGTTCTCACCGTGTCGTCATGCTTGAAGCACGAGGGCAAAGTTCGCGTGCCACCATCCTCCGGCTGTAGAAATCAGGTCCTTGTCAGGCCGCCGAAAACAGTCACCTGGATGTCCTGGCTACAGTGCTCTCCTCTCCTAACCCTGCACTCCCAGAGGCTGCTGCAGGAGGATTTCAGGTGATGTGCCAAGACATGTCTACAGCTCATTCTTGCTTTACACGGAAACTCGCCTTTGCCCAAACCTGCCACGGAAAATTTGAAAAAGCTCCTTTGACCATCTCCTTTTGCCCCACCCCCCCCTTAGCAAGAGTAGCTGTTCACCACTATCGATTTCATGCTGTTCTTCAGATGCTAAAGCTGGACAGCAATCCCAGCAGCACCGGCTTCCTAACAGCACCCGCTTTCTGGCTGCAGCGGAGCAGCAGCAACAGCATCTCCCCGGCTCGGAGATTCAGGAAGCTACCACCACCTAGTGTTAAAGTTGAGGCTTGGTAAAAAAACAACCCCCCCAAAAAAAGGGGGAACTCTTCCATTTCATTCAGGCTAAAGCCGTCGGACCCAATGCTCTGCTGCTGCCCATCGGCATCAGTCGAGCCGTGCTGATTTACACCAGGTGCAAATCTGGATTGGCAGATTTGCCACAAGAGCACCCTGTTGGCGCCCGTGGTCAGGTAATGGGCCACCGGACCCCTCAGCTCCTTCTCTGCGGCCCTACAACCCAGCCAGCCATTCCCCCTGTGTGGCCGAACACTGTCCGGCAGGGACTTTAAGCGCTCGCCCTCATATGCCCATCACAAGGGTGGCTTTTACTCAAGACGACTGCTGGAGCTGGGCATCGGGGCAGGTTTTCCAGCTCGGGGCGGGCTTCTCGGCACCTCTCGGCACCTCTCAGCCTTGGCCGAGCGGGGCAACAGCGGCTCGGTCCGTCGCCCTTCCCCTGCTCTCCGGAGCAGCCCTGGATGGACCCAGGGGGATCCCCGGGCTCTGCGCACCCCGACAGCGGCACTGGCTCGAGCACCCCGGGGTGGTATAGCCACTCAAGCCCCAGCCATAGGGGCCAACAGCAATCCTTTTGCACCCTGCTGAGCCTTGGCTTTAGCAGGACCCTCCAGGGCACCTGGACCCACCTGTAAGCATCAATGGCTAGTGGGTGGGGGGGTGAATGGCCCCTTGCATCTCTTCTCGCCACCCACTTGTGGGTGCCCCCCAGGGGCAAGAGGAGACCCGGCAGCGGGACCCTCCAGGGCACCTGGACCCACCTGTAAGCATCAATGGCTAGTGGGTGGGGGGGTGAATGGCCCCTTGCATCTCTTCTCGCCACCCACTTGTGGGTGCCCCCCAGGGGCAAGAGGAGACCCGGCAGCGGGACCCTCCAGGGCACCTGGACCCACCTGTAAGCATCAATGGCTAGTGGGTGGGGGGGTGAATGGCCCCTTGCATCTCTTCTCGCCACCCACTTGTGGGTGCCCCCCAGGGGCAAGAGGAGACCCGGCAGCGGGACCCTCCAGGGCACCTGGACCCACCTGTAAGCATCAATGGCTAGTGGGTGGGGGGGTGAATGGCCCCTTGCATCTCTTCTCGCCACCCACTTGTGGGTGCCCCCCAGGGGCAAGAGGAGACCCGGCAGCGGGACCCTCCAGGGCACCTGGACCCACCTGTAAG